TTTTTTTTTTTTTTTTTTTTGGGGGAAATTCGTGATAACGCATTTTTGACGATATCGATCTCTAAAGGGTGTTTCGTTGTATTTTGTATTTGATGGATTTTGAAATTTTTCAGATAATTTCGACTCACGTTCACTTTCGCGAGATAAAGCTCCAGCTCCTTGTACGGGTCCATCCTGTCGCCGTTGTCACGCAGCTTCTCCGTTTTCATCGCTTCCTCGCTGATCTCCCCATTTTCCGTCCTCTTCAAACTGTCCGTCCGACGTGACGATCTACCCGTTACCGATCGATCGGGCTGCTGCCCTCCGCTGTCCTGTACTGTCGCCATGTTTGCGTCACCTTGACTTCGCGTACATCTTCACCTGTCAAAACAGACGTTGCGAAATTCAGTGAGAACATTAATTACACCAGTGTACGATAACGTGGCTCGTATCGTTTTTTCACGCACGCACGCTATATTAAAATTGATTCTTGTCACCAATAGATAAACTCGTATCGGCGTATTTCATATTTCCCTCCTTCCATAAAAAAAAAGAAAAACCTCACATAACGAAATGCATCGAAAATTGTCGATTACGTTCAAGCTAGTTTCACTTTTGTAGTATATAAAAAAGTTGCCAATAGACTTCTATAAGTCTGACGTAATCGATAAGATTATTAATAAAAATCGAGCACATGGCAACTGTCAAATCAGGCCGATACGCTCGACATGGACAGTCCTGCACAATACTTTCGCCGCTACGGTTGACAGGCATCGACGTAATAATTCACCGGGTGAATTCACCATGAAGGCGTTTACGTGCCGTGAAGAGAATGAAAGGAGAGATAAATGAAAATGCCCCTTCCGCTCGGAGGTGAAACGCGCGCATTCGGCCATCTTTTTTTTCGAGTCTAACCTGCCGATTTCAGACGAAAAAATTATTTCACATTTTTTAAAAATCCACGAAATTCTTCACCCCGCTGTCATATCGATGTCACCCTAGTATAACTATACATTGGACTTTTAATAAAAACACGAAAATTTATGACAGAACAGAAAATTTAATATATTTCGACGCAAAACCACGGACGTGCGTACGTCGCGAATAAAATTGTATCCAAAGTTAGTGCAGTTGCTTATTCGAGACTCCGTTGTTTTCGATCTGTCAAAAAAAAAAAAAAAAAAAAAAAAAAAAAAAAAAAAAAAAAAAAAAAAAAAAAAAAAAAAAAAAAAAAAAACAATATTCAACTCGTGGACCCACTATACACGTATACGCGTATGATAAACAACGCGCAGCTCTCAGGTATCGGGATCACGCGAAAGACGCGGACCACCTTGCGACTGTTATGATTCTGTCTCATCCCCGTATAAATTTAGAATAGAGCAGCCTTAGTCACGCTACCGTCTAATTATATTGTCGCAGATTAGAGAAGCACGCTCCTCGTCAGCCAAACATTCGCCCACGAAACTTTCCCAGAGACACTTGCGGCCAGCGCCGAGCACGAGAGCCGAGGTGGTTTCGACGATTCTACCAAATCATTTCCCTGATGCCTCGACGGAGCTTTCAGCAAGATTTACTGACCGAGCCATATCGGCCAGCCGTTTTACAAGATCACATGCCGACTGATAAGAGTGGTATAGCCGCTCCTTCTGTATCCCCCCCGTAACTCCCTGCTACAGGCGTATCGGACTGAAACCGCGCGATATCGAGGGACGAGCGGAGAATTAATTAACGAGTTTCGACCGATATCAGAATCGGTGCCAAAATTCGTCCGATACCAGAGAAACGTCTGGACGTATTCGCAGAATCGTTCGTTCGATCATGAGAATCCAACGTATTTCAGGAATCGCCTATGTAAAGTCAATGGGCGTGTTCGCGATACGTGCCCGTAAATAGAACGGGAACAGCTGGGCTATCGAGCCGCTCCGAACGCGAGGGAATAAATCATGGAGTAAGGAGTCAGTTCGTTGCGACAGTGGCGCCATCGTTAATGGCTCGGAATATCAAATGACTTTCAAAAGGACGAGAATGCATGAACGCGTAATCAAAAAAAAATTATGATTAAAAGAAATTCAAGAAAGCCTCGCGACGCTGCCGCCTGGTGTTCCGGGACGCCGCGTGCGCTGTGTCGCAACAGTGCCGGCAAACAGACCATTTTCACAGCGTTGCCTATAACTCGGCGCTATTACTCCACTACGTTTCCCAGTTAATCATGTAGTGTGTGCCAATGATATTAACTCCGCGAACGATAAATACTCTTTAAATAAACTGTACCGTTCGGTACCGTCTGTCCAGGCATTATCGTGCCTCTGACATAGCAGATGAATCAACTTCGACGCTCCTATCTCCGTACGAATTTACTCCAAGCCGCCACAGTCGTATTAAACGCGGAATCAACAGCGAACGCTGTTCCGTGCAGTAATTTCGCCGACCGCGATAATACCAACGAAATTCATCGATAAACTGTATCGGCCAGAGATCAAGGTCTATCGATAACGATTACGATACTCGGCAGCCACGACAACCTGAACGAGCGCAATTAACCTTACGTAACTTGGCCTTTCCTGGTGCAAGGCTTGTTTACCACAAGATTAACTACAATGACGCTTACCGTGTGTCCGTGTTCGCCTTCGCACGTGTGCGTATAATCAATTCCGAGTTAACCTTAGGAAATACCTAATTACGCCAAAAATCGTTAATAAACCGCGTCGTTAAATCATTCTTCTGTCATTGACAAAGGTCAAAAATATCAATGACCTATCTGAAACCCAGACCTGTACTTCGTTAATTTTTTTTTTCTGAAGCTACTTTGGAAGTCTTTACGAAGAACCGGAACGTATTTGAAAACGAGAAGGATCATCCTGAACGACTAAAAACTCTATATCTATATGTATATACATTGTCCGTTTAATCGGCTAATTACGCGCACGAAGTGCGAATCGCGAGTAAGAAACTCGCACGGGTTGTCTGCCAGGGCGTCGTTGTACAGGACGGTTTTACGGTTTGACAGGTTGGTACACATTAAGCGCCTTGGAAGGAGGCCACGTGACGTCCCGCCATCGAGCAGTCATTCTTATCGAGACTTAAGGCTACTTTGCAAAACAAATGTCTGGACTGTTCGACGCGAACGTGAAGTACCTGTCCCTGTGTGAAGACGCGTGCTCATGTGTGTAAAACGGTGACGTGTGTAACGTATGGCCTGTTGCGTCGTTATATTTATAGAGAAATGTCACAGGGTCGAACCCGTTATCAAAATCCGAATAATCGTCAAGTGCAATTAAAAGTTGGCAATTTATGTATTTTCGTGAACGATAACGTCTGGGGCCTCCCGGGAGATAACCCCGGAAAGTATCTATAGTCGAATTAGGCGATTTCATTGAGAAGGCACTGCAGCCGATCGCTAGTGGCGACTATAGCATATACAATATATATATATATATATATATAATTTTTAATAAGCAGTAGAAATTTCATAATTTCGTATTCAAAGGATCCTTCGGGGATCGGTCCAGCCTGCTAGATTACTGGGTTGCCATTAATGCCACGGTAATTACCTGCATGCTGCCAGGATGGAAGAGTCATGCTCTGTGCCATGTAAATCTGACAGCGACGGGAGACGTTGGACTCTGCCGAGGAGAGCGGGGAACGCGGGGGGCGATGCTGCGGCGGAAACCAAAGACTGAGTCACTATCGTTTTTATTGAATTTCTTATTTCAACCCGACTCCCACCGCACAATAGAGAACAACGATTTCAGTATGCGACTGTACGGCGGCGGGAGCCTTTGCAAAAAGCTCTTGGAAACAGAACGAGTCACGTGCACGAGGGATACTGTTAGACAGCTGATCTCCATAGAGGCGCGTACGTAAAGTGCGTTATGCGTGTTGAATGACGAACACGACTCTTCTCCGAATGGTACAGACCCGTAGCCGTGGATGCTGCAGGTATTCGCACATGCATAAGAGACTCAGGGGCGCGCGAGAAGTTCCTGTAATTTGCACACAGTTTCCCCACGCGTCTCGGAAAGCCCCGAGGGCATTCGGCATCGTTTTCTCAATTCTTATGGCATTTTCTCAGGGGGCGAGAGAGAGACGGGAGACGGCTATGCCGGTAATGAAACTGTTTCTATTGGCAATGCGTATAGTGGGTTCGCGTATAGTGGCTGCCGTGCGTGTACCCCACCCCTGACTAACGGAATACCTTGGCCCGAGGTACCTAGGTGTCGGAGTACACGGGTCCAGCGGACGAGGGACAGGGATCTGTTAGCAAGGCGCCTTCCTATGTTTGCTACTCGTTAAACGTTTGCGTACGCAAGTCAAACGGTTGACGTGCGCGCAACAGGTGTACCCGGCCAACGGGAAGTCTCGAGGCCGCATCGAATTGGAGTCTCTCTCTAGCGGGTCTGGTGATATAAGAAAAATAAATATAAGTCAAACGATCGAGGCTGCTGAACGGAGGAACACGAAACAGCGAACCAAATGCGGCACAGCGACGGGATTCTAGACGCGTCGCAGCTGCGGCTGCGCCAGTCGCGTCTTATCGGGCAGCTCCTATCGAGCCTGTAAGTTATTTGAATTAGGAAAGCGTCCGATAACAGGGCTCTGCCGCTAAAGACTCGTCAAGGTATCGAGAGACTCGTATTCCCTAGGAATGTGGAATTCCTAGGGAATTTCCTAACCCGAGGTAAAGCACTGGACACGTCGTCCCTATACGGAGTCTCCCCGGTATGTTTCTCCAGTGCAGCGCGAACCCAGCGCCGCTTCCACCGCCGTGTGCCAGTACGTGTAGTTTGCCTACAATAAAATTCTCTTGTGGTTTGGAAACTGGTTTCGCTTCGAGTGCGTTTCGGATTGTGGTGAGCCGAGTAGATACGGTACTAATTGGAATTAAATGCGGCCCTTTTTTTCTTTTACCCAGAGGGAATGACAAATATCCCGATAGCGAGTAATTAGGAGTACACGGTACGTCCATTTCGTTATAAAATCTTTCCCATTCGACACCTAACCGGCCTTCCCTATATAAGTACAGCTGGCTGCTCCTCTTCTCCGCTTGTCCCAGCAGCAGCTGTCTCGTGCGTCCCGCGCGGCTTCTCTACCGGAGACCTACTCCTTCTTACGCCAAGTGCCAGCGAATCTCGCCTTTATCTCTCCGCACAGTCGCACCACCATCGCACTCGTGTGATATATCGAGCAGTCGTACCAATTCCTGAATCCTGACTCGTTCCTGGATTCGAACGCGGATAGGTTCGCCGTGTAAACGTCCCTCAAGTAAGAGTCGATCCGTACCGGAGAGGCTGTCGGAGCGATTAGATATTTCGTTAACATCAAAGTCCAGAACACAGTCTGAGAACCATCTGGATATTTGCTTCCGTCGAAATCCTGCA